ATATTGGACTCGTTTCGAAGGTATTAACGAGACGATTATAATGGTGTAACTTGTTAAAATAAAAATGTATTTTTTAAACATGTTTTAATTGATATACGATTATRTATGTTAATTTGATAAATGTTTAAAATGAAACATTTAAAAGCAAATGACATAAAGTAAATTAATTAACTAATTATAGGGGTATAAAGTGAAAAAGTGAAAAAGTAGTATAAATGGTATCTTGGTCATTTAAAATTTTAAGACTTTAAAACTTTTGATAAATTAACTTAATAAGATAGTATAGATATAGAAATTTTGAGCCCGAAGCACATCCCTGAAGTTGTATTCTCATTCCTCACTAATACTCCTAACCTCTTTAGTTCAAATAATGGATAAATATGGCTTTTTACTAACTGCTGACTGGACCGACTCGGTCAGCTTCTCGGATTTGATCAGTAGTCGGTGTTTTACCAAGTCACGAATTTGATCGAACTGCTGATCGAGATCTGACCGGTCAGCGTCGATTCCATGCTTACCCGAGTCACATTTCCATACTTGCCCCCTTTTCACGATTAGGTTTTTGCATTCCGTCGCTCTCTATCGTTCCCTCATCGCTCCTCCTCCTCCTCCTCCCTCGCCGGTCCCGGCTCTCCCCGCTACCACTCGGTTGGTCCTTTCTCCCTCGTCACTCTCGTCCCTTCTCCTTTCTCCCTCGGCGCTCAAGTCGTTCCTTCCTTGGCTGCTTGAAAAGGTACAAATTTTTTTAACTGATAGGTTTATGTATTTGTTGGGGTTTTCTGTTTTCTGGCTTTATATTATGTACGATGGTGATGGATTACTCGAAAGAATCGGCTGATTTCATTATTTGATCGATTTTGATTTCATTACTTGATCGATTTTGATTTTGTTCTTCCGTTTTCCAATTGTGGGACTGAATAGTTGTTTTGTTAAATTGTTGCTTGAGTTGCTATATTTGTTTGAATCAAAGTTTGGCTTCTGTTTTGGGAATCAAAGTTTGGCTTCTTCTCTTTCGACAAATTTGGCAGTAAAGATTTGACTTCTGTTTTCTTTTGACAAATTTCTTGTTCCTAGCCTTGTTAGAGAACACATTTAATTGTTTTGGGGAGTAGGAGATGAATAGGATCAGAGAAGATTTGAAATGAATTAGAGAAACCCAAAAATAGGATCAGAATCAGAAACCCAAATTTCAACTGGGTTACGTTTCCATTGCTCATTATATCTTGTGTTTGCAACTTCTTATCTAAAGCAAGCCACAATGAGAATGCATGGCAGGGAATAAGGTAGGGACTATGACATAGGTGAGAGTAGGTTGGGAGTCTAACCAAGCTTGAATTATACAACGTGAGAAAAAAAACAAATATCTTTATGTCATAAAATCATCAACAAAACAAAGCTAAACTCAAAGTAATACAACACAGCCACAAAGACTCAAGACTCACCATTCACTGGTAGATTTGTTGAGAACACGAACTCCTAGCCAAAAACTCCAACACCCCAAACCCAACCGCCATCTTTTGCATCTCTTTCAACTTCTGTCTTCTCTTCTTATATAAAAAGAGGTATATATAGATGTATAGATGGCTGTTTTCACAGTGATAATTGGTGGTGTTTTGGGGGTTTGCCTGTTGATTACACTTGTTCTGAGATGGAATGAAATGAAGTAACCAGATTGAGAGTATGGTTCATCCAACTTGACTATGCCCAAATTCCCCATGGCACCTCTCAATATATATACACACACACATACGGTCCACTATATCATATGGTTATTTATGGTAGAATCGACATGTGGTACAACGTTTATGTAAATTATTATATGTCACACCACGTATCACACAGAATACTGCTAAGGAGTATGTAAACCTATAGGATTGCACACACATAATATGTTGGCCTCCATTTGTAGAAACCCGAGTTAAATCATGATTATCATCAAAATAATTATTCTTGGAGGATAATTATGAAAATTTGTGTTAAAAAGTAATTATGATAATCACATGATATTATCTGTAAATATATATAATTATATTAAAGTTTATGATAATTATGTAAATGTTACAAATAATTACAAATACTTACTTTGAATAATAGTTTATTTATGATACAGACCATCTAAATAAGATGATAAGCTAAATCAATTTTATTTGATTAAATCATTTAGATTTAGTTGTCAGGTAAACAATACAGAAAAGAAACCTTTTCTTTTCTATAATACACATATAGATATAGGGTTTTGTGCTAGCACACAATGGAGGTCTAAAGGCATGTTCACATGTGGACTACGATAGAGTAAATCTATGTTGGTTTTTAAGTGTTCTGTCAAAATCCTCATCAAATCTGAAATGCACAAATACTAAACATCATATGGCATGTTGTATTTGTTTTATTAGTCATTCGAGCCAGTTCTAAATATTAGGAAAAAAATTATTTTGTAACCAAAATTATTTTTCCGTTGCATTTCAAATGGTTACAAATTGTTCTAAAATCCTACAGTGGTATCAGAGCCTTTTTGACATTTAAAACAAATAAAATCGGATGAAATTAAAACGGTAATTGGAAATATAAATCGAGATCAGTTCATAACGGTTCGCGAGGCGTGCTAGGGTTTAGACCCAAGCATTGTACGATGGCTTGTCATATGGCTTGTCATACAACAACCATGCTGCTTGCCCCTAATATGGTGTTAATACAACAACCACAATCAGTCTGATTACGTCTTCAAGCATCCACTGACCCACCATCTTGGTGAACTCCAAGGACTCCGTCTTGATTTCTTGGAACACCGTCTTCGGATGTTTACAAATTTTAAAATAGAGTATACAATAATATTCTATTTTATCTACATTTGTTCCTATCTTAGAAAATTTAAAGTTGTACATTTTAAAAGTTTATTTGAACGTGTTCGTTCTATGGAAGAGACGTGTAAAGCTCAGGATTCTAGTCTTAAGAGAGAACATGATGATCCGGATGATCTGGATCACCATGAGGGGGGGGGAGGGGGGAAGACAGAAAATGCCTGAGGATGTTGCAGTGTTTACTGGTCAAAGATATGAAATTGAACAAACAGGTGATGTTCAGGTTTCTGGTGAGAATGTGAATGAAAGAGAAAGGTAGACAGTTCAAATTGTGCTAGTTGATGAAACAGATCCAAGGGTTGAAAAGC